AAAAAAAAAAAAAAAGAGATCTTCTACAGTTTTGTTACGTTTTGGCCGTAGAAAAAGCCTGCATCTCTAGTACAACTCCAGAACCACGAAGAATCATCCATAAAACCTGCATGGAGCGAGTTAACTTTGTCCAAATGAGAAGGTCTTCTATGCCTGCACAGTTCCACACAGATGTTTATTTGCCATCAATGTTCATCTCCATCTTGCCTTGTCAGGTCACTCTGACTGCCTCTGTTGGCATATATTTAGCAATGACTGGACTTTCTTTGCAAAGATCTGCATGTAAAGAATACAATCAGTACTTGAGCTTCTTCCCTGTGCTTTTCACATCAAGCTCGGCATCTTAGTTTTAAAGGAAGGAGGAAAAGGTGAAATAGCTACATGCAGAGGCAGCCATATTCTTCTTCAACAGGGTTTTTTTTCCATGCAGTCAGCCAGACTGAGACCTCTCTACAGTGTGTCTGAGTATTGCTTTCAGCTTAAGATAGGCGCCCATGCAAAGTTTCATCCTACTGTGCTTGTTTGCTCAAACTCTTGCAGGGTTCCTATGGCTCAAAAGTATCCTGAGAAAAGCAAAATCTTCCATCGTTGGCATGTTTCAGCATCGACCATATGCCTAACCCATTCCATACCGAGCCAGTAGATCCGCCATTAGCCACAATAAGCATAGACTAGCACGATGCACCAGGAAGGAAGCTATCTGGTGCATCTACCCTTCATCCTATGTACTGATACCATGCAGCACATTATGGCCCACCAGTACCACGTGAATGGCCTGCCTACTGTCATCTGAGTGCAATTTAGGAGTGTTGTCACCTAGCATCAGTAGTAACACCATTCCCAGCAGGTGCTACTGTGAGACATTGCATCTTCAGACTTAGTCACCTGGATTATATGCAACATAGCATAGGCTAATTGAAAATAAAGCTTTTTAGACCATTCTCTGCTACTGATCCATGCTACAAAATAGATGGGATGGGAGACCAAGAGCGTCTCACTGGACTAGGAGAGCTGTAGGGCGCAGACACTGAGGATAATCCTATCGCTTTTCCACTTATGCCAGCTATGCTGTTAAGGCTCCGTGACATTTCGTAACCTTCATTTAAAAGAAAAATGCAAAGTACAGCATTGGATCAATGACAGAATGGACTAAGAATGAGGTCAACATTGTAGCCAGTTCAATAGCAGCTGCATGCACAGACATGCTAGAGTAGTATCGCTTGCAACTTGACTCGCGTGGCCACTGAAGTAAAGAATAAGTTTAAATAAAAAACAAGAAAAAAATCGTTTTTCAAGGATAGGCTGTGTAATTGATCCTACAGGCAGCGATGTGGTTGTACCCTAAAACAAAGTCAGTAGGAGGGGGATTTTTGATGTCTCAATCATACACTCACGCATACCATTCCCTGTCACCTCATGCATTTTGACTTCAGGCAGAATTTAGACTTCTGGTAGCTTTGGGGAAGGAGGACAAGAGAGAGAAAGGGGGAAAAAAAAAAAAAAAAGGCAGCAATCCATGTAATTTATTTTGTTGCTATAGAGATACTACTCCTTTGTTTTCAGCATTAAAAAAAAAAAAAAAAGAAAACAAAATTGCATGCTTTTCTTTCCCACCCCCACCCCCCGCCTTTGTCAGACATGCACGTAAACAGCTCAGCAAGTGTACGGAGAGTTGCACAAACTATGGGTGAAATTCTGTTGGAACAACAATTAAGATGCTCTCAACGTGTTTCAAACAGGCCAACAATATGCTGACGTATATTACTCTTTAGCCAACCAGCCTCTGTTTCATTCAGTAACGAGAGGCAGTTGCAGTGCATCGTGAAAACCATACATTCCTCATCCCAAAGGATGTGCCATTTGGAGTGTTCCCCTGATCCACTGGAACCACCCAAACTCGCCCAGGCTGAATGAACGCGGCCAATGCTTATCCAATACAGAATCAAGTAAAACACTTTGCTACAAAGGTAAATTTAAGAGGTTATACTTTCACATGAAAGTGTTGTGGTCCAACTATATCTTTGTTGATGATAAGCTTTAAACTTAGAAATACATACACTATCTATAACTGGCATTTACTACAACTATTGCCCATCATACAATGGCACATGGGAATTCTATACTCCATACTCAGCGTATGGTTACGTCGTACAATCTTTGAAGTTTTAAAATATTGACTGTATTGTATACTATATACAGTACACCAGTGATAAACACTGATTTGAAGAGACAGACCTTTCCAATTTCCCCATTTCTTACTGACTTTTATGCATATGCATGTCATTCTAATTTTGGTTTGTACGGTTTCTTCAGCTTAAGTAACTTAAACAAAACGTAGCCTGTTTTAAGAAGGGAAGGTATTTTTTTCATTCAGTTTGACTTCTTGCCACTATATGAATGATTCTGGCCATAATGAAACTAAAATGAAATGACTCCTGAGAGATCTGTAGCTGTCAGAAGTCAGAGAAACTAACTAGTAATGATTTATTTATGAAAAGAAAGTGATTTTAGGTGAATGATTTTGCGATTGAAGACACCTGTGCTAACAGATGTTCTTGTGTGCTTCTCTTCCTCTATTGAGCAAAACAGCGATGAAGATCCAAATAATTTCCTTTAGTGCTCTGTTAAGGTAGCTGAATAATCATTTGATGTTTCTTGAGGATCTTTTGCTTCTGCGTTTTAACTTTTTTTTGTCTGCTACCTCCCAGGCATTTGCTCCTCAGAGTCTGTAAAATCTGTGAGCTTTTAAAGTGGCAAACTTTTGTTGCTGTCAAATGCTAACTGGCCTCTCCTTAAAGAATGGGCTAATTTGAGGGCACTGTAGAGCGTTCTCCACTGAAGCTCACTGCACTGAAGCTTACTGCACCGGTTAGGGTGGAAGTCTCAGCTGTCTAGCATAACTGCAAGGGGTAGTTACAGCTCTTCAGGCTTTTCTTTCTGAAAGAAATAGGTTAGAAACTCCAAATGCAGACATCAAGTGGTGGTTTCCAGCCCAAACGTGCATCTCTACAGCAAGCGCACTATTGCGTGCTAGAGCTATAGCTGACTTGTTCTTATTCGTTTAAAACGGTTGCTAACTACATAGTTACAGGACCCCAGCTACATACCCTTTCTTATTCCTCCATCAGGCGGGCAGGGATATTCCCCGGTTGATAAGAGGAAGCAGGGTCCATATCTCTCCCGAGTGCCAGAGCGGGTAAAGGGCAGGCCCTCATCAGGCGTAATAGCCTGGTCTATGTGGGGACAGTCTTCGTTTGCCAGCGCCGCCTTGGCCACCTCACCATTCAGTTTCGAATCTTCAAACATATAAGCAGAAGGCTATTGAAACACTATGCACTGTTTATTAGTTCCAGCTGCAAATTAAGGGGTCACAGCTAATGAGTTCTATAGCGACACTATAAAAGGTAGCACGTCTGTCCTAGACACTGCGTTCGTGTGCACTGCACCAAAATAAAATGAAGTCTGTTAAGTGGGAGGAGAAACAAAACGTGATCACGTTAGGTGTGACAGCCGCCGCCTGTACTTCCGCATAGAGGGGCAGTTTCGGAAACGGGCCTGCAGTGGTTCCTAGTCCTGCGAGCAGAAGACCACGGTTAGAGATCGGATCATGTGCTTGCATGACGACAGATGGTGCATGAATGACCTGCTCGTCATGAAGCCTTCTGTTGCTCAGAGCTTGGGAGAGGCAGTGGACTGTGAGTTGTGTTTGAGCATTTGAGTATATTCTGTTTATGCTGATTTATGCCTTTGTGCAATATTCCCAGAGGGAAAAATCCTCGCTTTTTCCCTCCCTGAATTTACCCCAGGTGTTTGAAATATTATTTCTGATATCGGTCGTGCAGAATGGCTGTACACGTTTTAGACACACAGAGTACATTATGGATGGGAATAAGACAGCAGAACGTGGATTTGAAAAAAAAAATCAATTTTCTGATGTTCTCATCTGAAACATGCACAGTATTTGCAATGCCAGCACGGGACACTACATATAGAAAACACTACAGCAGGCCATGAATTTAGAAAATGGATGGAGTCAATTTATGCTTGGCTGTAAATAATGAAAATAGGTTGTCAGATTTGCCCATTTTGCTCCACACATTCCCATGAAGATAGACTGAGAAGTGTACGTTTTCTCTGTGTGACTTGTATGATATTTGTAAAACAATTCAAAGTGCTATTTACTGTAGGATTTACTTTAGAGTTTAAAGTGCAATTTGGTACATTGAGAATATACTCGAAATATGGCACAGCTCAATAAGAGTATTTTGGTGGAAGGGAGGAAAAAGCAGTCCAAGTGTGCTTTCTGAAGTTTTCCAAATGCTGAGACCCAGTAACTGTAGGCAGCATCCTAAACCTTGGTTGCACAATGCTTATTAACTAGAGATTGTAAGGCAATGGGTGGTCCTGCAAGTCTTTAGAGAAAGGTAAAGTCAATAAGTAAACTTAATTCCAGTGCCTCTTCTAGATTTACATACTGTCTCATTCTGAATGCTACATGATACTGTTATTTATTTTTCAGTGACTTTGAAGCCAAGTAATAATACAAGACCAAAAGAGAAACGGCATTAGGTGGGGTTCAGAGATACAATTCCTCTGTGTCAGATGGACAAGACAGATGAATAAGAGGCAAAAGCCTTTTCAAACAACGGTTGAGCACACACAGACACACACACAGATGTATACAGCATGTGCTATATACATCCATCCCTGTGTCAGTAATTGCATTCTATGCATTTACTTTTATTTGGATGTCACTGGTTTGTCACTGCAGAGAAAGAAATAGTCTGTTCTGCATATCTCACCTCTGCCTTCTTTCTTCTCCATGTAGACTTAGCCAATTATTTCCCCATAGAGAGGTAGCAACATTTTCTGTCTCTCAATATATCTCAATATATTTTAAAAACCTGAAAAAAGCTATGGGGGAATTCTGTTGTTTGTAGATGTTTGCAATGAACTGCAATTCCTTTCTGTTTGTAAGACTGGTATTAAGTACTACTATCAGCACGAAAGCCTGGCACAGCTGCCATGGTAACCGTGACACTACAGGTATTGAACTGTTGCTTTTAATATCACATAACTGTGTTTTGGGAGAACTGCTGGCCTTTCAGGGAAGAGCAAAGCACTGGGCTTCTTCATAAGCTTCGACTGCTACAGGCAGGTAGCTCTAATCCTACAAGGAACGAGGCACTGACATCTCTGAAATCCCCGCTGCCACATTTGAGCCTGGGTTTGTAAACTAAGTGGTTAGTGATGGAACGGACACTGGTCTGTTTCTGGAGCTCAAAACACCTCTGAGAAGCCTGGCTATGGATCACTCAGCTTGCTAATAGCAGCCATCGGTCCTTATGGAAGCAGCTTTCTGGCTCTATTGTGCTCACTGACAAGAAAGTTGACCTTGGAATTTATTTCTTAAGATGTGTCATACATTCCTAGCAACCTGAGCTGTAAGCTGCTCTAGTAGCCTCCTCGGGGCTCTTTAACGCTGATGAATTTTTCTGTGTGTTTGCTGCTGAAAGTCTGCAACCTTTTTGTTTTAGTTCTGTTGAATAGAAAGAGAACAAAGTAGCTGGTGATGTGCACAGATCATTAAGCTGAACCTCAAACATCCCTGGGGTTATTCCATGCATGGGCTGTGCCCTAAGGACCACATTCTGCACAGCCCTGGTCATCTTCAGGAGCAGTTTTTCAGAGTACTTAGGAAAGAGTTAAACTACCAGCACAGAAAGCTGTGCGTGTAAGCAGATGTTGATAGAGTAGCATTGTTCCAAACCACTCTCTGCAGCACCTAAATCAGTAAAGGCTAGACTCAGGATTCACATGATGCCTAATAACTTATCCAAATAGAGAAAACCTCTCTGATGTCATCTGTCAACAGTGAGAAGTTTTCATTGCTTTCATTAGCAGACCCACATGCTGAACAGTTTCACGTATTAAGTCTAAAGATGGAATGAAATTACATTATTTAGGTTGATTTCTTAAGTTTTGATTTGTTCTTTCCAAGATTGACCTGGGCTTTGAGAGGACTCTAGACAAGGCAAAGATCCTGAAATAATTACTGTCTGGTGACTACTGAAGAGTTATACCAATGACAGCAACTTCTAGGCACTTAAAATTTCACACATTTGATTGTGCCTTACCGGATTTACAAGTCTTTCCATCCCTGTTAGCAGAATTGAATCTAGGCTTGTATAACATTTTTGTAGGCTTGTCTAACCTTTTTCCTCTTTGTATCATATACTGTTCCGTGATGAAAAGCTAGTGTTATCATCTCTGTTTTACAGATGGGTAAAACTACCCTGCAGTGAAACGACAAGCCCATTGCTATGTAAGAAGTTATTTACAACAAAATCTTCTGACTCGCAGCATGGAACCTTATCTCCATAATCATCCTATCTGCGAATACCTAGTTAACTGCACCAGCTTAAAACATTCTCCTGCAGAGATTTGGCTTAGAGGCTGAAGAAAGTGTTCAGCAGATCTCCCAGGTGTGTAGTTCGTTTCACAGCTACATTTGTATGGTTTCCACTTGATTATTTTTTTTAACCTCCTCCTTCCTGTTTTCTCAGCCTCCATTTGCAGAAAACTACAGTTGAAATGCCTCAGTTATTTTCAAGCAGACAAAGAATTTTAAATTGGGGGGTGTTCTGAAAAAGACTTAGGGTATCTTCTTGTGCTTAATGTGGGAGAAGCTCTGGAGAGATCATCCACGCACTAGTGCACAACTTGTCTCTTTGCTCTCTCTTTGCTCATAGCATTGGTTACAAACAATTTCAAATACACCAATTACAACTAGTAGATTATCACAGTCACCTTACTGGCTTTACTTAACTGGTTTTGTGAATCGCTCCAGGTTTACTGGCATTGTGCTAAAGAAGATAGGGCCTTCACAGGCTCAGATCAGAAACTCAGCAATTAGATAGATTTGTTTTCTTCGGCCCCACTAGGTCACTAGCAATCTCTTCCAGAAGGAAACAGACTGTCTTCCTCCTAGCCACCCTTGTTTAAGGATTAAAAGTGACAGGAACCCAGGCTGAGTATTTACAACTTCCTTGAGCAGCCTTTTGCCATCTCACAACAACTCAGGAGACTTGAAGGACCTGCAGGGAAGGGGATTGATGCACAGGAAGGAGGTAGGAGCAGTTAAGTGAAAAACCAGTGCTAAAACTGTGAAAGCTGCTTGAAAGATGAAGATCTGTTTACTAGGGAAACATTATGTAATTGAAGTTGCATTCCATCCTACCATCTTATGTAGACCTAAAAATGAATCTACACTTAATGAGATATCAACTGTGCTCTTGTAGCCCTGATCCCAATCCTGGTTTTCAGTCTATGGATAAGCTCATTCCTGATCAATTGAGAGTGTTTTGTTACTCATTTGCAGCTTGAGCATCTGCCCAATTTCAACCCACATCACTCTGCATGGCTCCTAACATTCAGTAGCTGCCAGAAGTCTTTCATGAAGAAGAATCTGTGAGGTCCCTGTCAGCAGAGACCTTTAATCCAACTGGATCTCTGAAGAAAGCAATGTTATATTGTCCATTTAATGAGTTAATTACTCTCTTGTTTTTCAGTCTTTTTACACTTTTCTGATGGTATCAAAGGACTTTTAATGTGGCAAACATTAACAATGTCATACTATACTGAAGATGGCATACTTGGAACGATGGCCTTTCCTGTCTCAGGCTAACAGAATAATATAGGAAAAGGGACGACACGGCAAAGGTGAGGTTGGAGAACTGTTGTGCTCTAGATTTTCTCAGCTACAAGGCTTTTCACTGGAAGTGCACAATAGAGTAGTTATGAGGCTGCTACAGCTGCTGATGGAGAACAGAACATTTCCCAGCTATCTTTACTGCTGTAGACAAAATGCGAAGATTTTGTGTTCCTTTTTTGCATCCTGCTTCTGTAGTGCAACTTTTGCCTGATATTTCTAGGCTGAGCATATATGATTACGATGAAACTCAGGGTGTGAATGCAACTTTCCAAAAACATTTACTCTAATCTGTGGTGCAATTAAGAGCTACTGAGAATCTCCCCATTGATTTTATTTCTCTCTGCGATGTTGTGTAGAAAGACAGTAACCACAGCTCAATTCCCTGTTCTCTCAAGTTTCCTTAACTCAGATTTCACCCCTGTGATATCAAGTTGTTTCTCTTTTGGCTGCCTGGATAGTAGTAACAGGCCATTAATATTCATTGGCCTCTCAACAGTTGCATCAGTATACGTCATTTTATTTTTCTCTAAAACTGGACTCCATCTAAACTTTTTCACAGGTTAAGGGAGGCTCAGAACATAA